TCTGCCCTGCCCTACCTTGGGTTAAATACTTAACCTTGGCTTTCTTGTCTGTAAAATGGGCAGAATGATGCCTGTCCATGCCGGGCTGCTGGGAAGAAGAGTGAGAATGTCTGTGAAGTACCACCCACGTGTAGATGCTCAACAAGCAGCACTGGCAGTGTCACTACTCTAGGGCAGCAGCCCTCTCCAGGCCTGCAGACCAGCTGCCTCATCCCATAGTCAGGAAGTACTTACTCAGGGTCACTCTGTGCCCGGCGGGCCACGGCGCGTGCCAGGCACAGAGTGAAGATCAAACAGTCCCGGACCTTGCCTGCATGAACACACAGCCTATTCTAGCCCCTCCGAGGTCCAAAAGGTTAAATCCGTGCTGATGGGTAACTGATGGAAACCTGTGGGAGTCATTCTTACTATTAATCACTGTTCTCAGAAGCATCACCAAAGTGACTGCCGATGTCGTCCATGGCCTGAGCAAGACAGGCCGGGGCTGTGAGAGAGTCGTGTGGAAGCTGAGTACCTTCTTTGTTCCTCTTTTTCAAATGAACAATTGGGTGGCCCTGGCTGGTGTGGCTCTGGGGATTGAATGCCTGCAAACCAAGGGGTCACCAGTGTGACTCCTAGTCAGGGCACATGCCTGGGCCTCGGGCCAGGTCCCCAGTGCGGGGTGTGTGAGAGGCAACCACACATGGATATTTCTCTCCCTCTCTTTCTCCCTCCCTTCCTCTCCCTGAAAGTAAATAAATAAAACCTTTTTAAAAAAGAAAACAATTGGGTGTGGCTATAAAGGAGAGGTTAACCTCCATCCACGGCTACATGAATAAACAAAACGTGGCAGAGTCTTAAAAAGGAGAGAAATTCACACACACACTACAAGGTGCTGAATCTCGAAGACATTATGCCAAGTGAAGTAAGCTAATCACAAAAGGACAAATATTGTGCAATTCCACCTACACGAGGTACAGAGAGGACTTAAATCCAGAGAGACGGAAGGTAGAGGGTACCAGGGGCTGGTGGAGGGCGCTGGAGTTGCTGCTTAATAGCTGTAGGGGTTCTCTTTGGGGTGATGGAGAGGCTTTGGAAATAAAGGTTGGTGATGGTTCCCAGACATTGTGAATGTAATTAATGCCACTGAATTGTACACTGAAAAGTAGTTAAAATGGCAACTTTTATGTTATACATACTTTACCACAAAAATGTATTTTGAAAATAATAACAAGAAAGGAAAGGCTTACCTGGCTCCAACCAAGAACCCAACTGGGGCCATAAAAGATGGGCTTTGTCCCCTGCCCAGTAGAGTGACCCAGAAACAGCTCCTTGCCGGAACTATGCTGCCCCACCCACTCTGTGGCTGCCCCCGCCCACCCTGCCCTCTCCCAGAATGCCCTCCTGCCAGCACAGCGTGAACAAGGGTACTTGGGGTTCTCTTTTCCTGGTCACCAGCACCGACACTCGCAGCTGTGGCTTTTAGGAGGGTGAGCTGAGCAAACCCTCTACTCCTGACCGTGATGCAGGCAATGGGACCCCGGGCTTCTGGCCCCTGGTGGACCAACCTGAAGCAGACCCTGGGCAGACAAGTTCCAGTGGTCCATGGGGGCAGCACCGGAAATGAGCGAGAGGGACGTGACCTTTCCCTGCTCCCACCAGTTCTCTTTTCTTCTCTTTCAGGTCTGGATCTTGCAGGGAAAACACAATTAAACATTTCCTTGCTCTCTCCTGCCACTGAGAATTCTTCCTTCTGTTACTCTCCCTAGACTCCCAAGGCATCTTGGGGCTTGGAGGCGGCCTCGGGACTTAGATGTAGTTCATTGGGGTGCTCAGACCCAGGGCAGGACATAAAAGATGCAGCCTTGACATTTCACAGAAGGAAATAAATTTCTGCGCAGTCATGGCTGGGCTCAGAGAGAGAGAGAGCGCGGGCATCTTAATTCAGGCACAGGATGAAAACTCTTTACAATCCCTGCACAGGTGGGAATACGAGCAGCAGCACCTGGCCCTGGGAGACCGGCCCAGATGTGATGGGACCCACGCCCACGATGGGGCTCGGGGCTCAAGGAGCACACGCTTCGTCTATGAAACGGGGGCCATCGAACACCTGCTGTGCAGCGGTTGCCGCCTAGCCCTCCCCACAGCACACGGCCTGTCTGTACCCCCCTCCCGTTTGTGGCCTCGTCACACTGTGGTGGACAGGGGAGGGGTGGGTTTGGTTGGAGCGCTGTTTATTGAGATGTTACTAGCATCCGACTCTGTCCTGAGAACTTTTAAAGATGCATACGGAAGACTTTGGGCTTTTCCTCCCCAGAGCCCCTCTCTGCTGACCATGTCTGTGCGTGTTGGCCCAGCTACCAAATGCCATCATTTCTGAACCCACCTTAGCCCACAATGGCCAGGCACCTAATAAGCAAAGAAGGCACCTTGGGGGGGGGGCTAATGGGCATCGGTGGAGAAGTGTCCCAGCGCCAGCGCCCCCGGGGCCAGGTAACAAGTAAGAGACCTGAGCCGGGCCCCCAGTGGTGGCATCTTGTCTGGGTAAGTCCCTCTTGCTGTCTTCTCCCCGCCATGTCTCACATCCCTCTCCTCAAGTGGTATTTCCTGAGATCACCTCCCAAATACACTACTTACATCTGAATCTCTGAGGAGCGGCTCTGGGGGAGCCCCGACTCGGATAATGCGCACTCTCACTTATTCTTTACCGAGAGCACGGGAAGCAGGTCCTCTGAGCTCCCTTTTACAGATGAGAAACTGAGGCTTAGAGGCATGTGGTAACTTGCCTAGAATCCCACAGCGGTGAAGCCAGGGCTAGAATCCCAGCGTCTGGTTCCAGAGCCCTAGCCAAGCCCTGGCTCACAGCAAGCCAGCAAGTGTGCCCACAGCGTTGGCTTGTCAGGGAAGTCTGAGACTGCAGAGGGTAAATCTTCCCCCCTCCCACACTCCTTCAGCCCCCTTGTCCCCCATATGACCCGCTGAGCAAGAGAGTGGATGAGAGAGGAGGAAAGAGCTCTCCCATCTCGCTGAGTGTCCACCACCAGGTGGCGCCCTTTCCAGGAGGCTGAGATTAGCTCAGTAGATAACAGATTAAAAAGCAAATTGTGGTCAAAGATCTGACCCAGCTACTCCCAACAACCAAGGTGTCCACCTTCTGCCTTTCTGCAGAAGGCAGAATCTGAATTCGGAAATGTATCAAAGCCCCCAGGACTTACAAGCTGCTTGAGAAACAGAACAGTATCATCGTGTTAGGCAAAGACTTGCAAGTACGAATTTCTAAGTACTGAAAGTACTGTCCCCAAGTGCAGTGTTAGGCATTGTAAGGACCATTGGCATTTAGAGGGAGAGCTTGGTGGGGCTGGAGGGGGTGGACTTGTGATGGACTCTGAAGTGCTAGTAGGATCTTCATAGGGAGGGAGGTAGTGCAGCTTTTGAAGGGATGTTGCCCAGGACTGGGGCATGAACAAGTGGGCAGGAGTGTCCTTGATGAGCCCTGAGGGTTGAAATAGTGTTTGGGGTGGGTGGGCGTTGGGTAGAGGGAGAGGTCTGGAGAGGTAAGGAGGGCCAGGCGGTAAACTGGAGGTGCCACGCCTCGGCGGGAGACTGAGGACTTCATTGGGAGGGACACATCTCAGAGGCACAAATTTCAGAGCGTGGGAGTCGTGTGACGAGTGGTGTGACGAGGGGGAGGCCGGGTTGCAGAGTGAAAGCGGTCAGGGCCAGTGACAGAAGGGGATGTGCCGAAGGTTGGGTCCAGTGTTGTGGGCCTGGGTGACTGGCGACATCAAAGCCTTTTAGAGATGAAAGTGAGATCTTTGAAGATTTCATCTTGTGCAGGCGTCTGAAAACAAAGGGTCTACCTCAAGGTCACACAGCTAATTAGGGGCAGAGTCAGGAAATGAACTCACATGAAAGAGGGAGACAATTTGGGGTAAGAGATGAGAGGATGGATTTGCTCGGGAGCAATCAGGCCGGGTTGTTCGGGGAGGTGCCGGTGGAGAAACCCAGGAGGCAGTGAAAATATTCGGCAGGTGCCTGAGGAGGTGCCGGCTAGAACTGGTGGAGTTATTATCACAGAACAGAGGATGGGGCTAGAACCCCTGGGGCAGTGTGCCAAGTCCAAAGGCCAGAAGTCCAAAGATGGAAGCCTGGGGTTTAAGAACAGGAGCCAGGCCAAGGGGCAGTCAAAGGTGGGATATGGCCCAGAGGTGGACATGGTCAGTGTTCTCCACGGGCAGGGACACTGGGCTCTGACCTCTCCAGCCCCACTGTACCGTACAAAAGATGCCTGCAAATTCTTCGACCCCCCCTCTCCCGCTGAGCTGTGGGGGCTTTGCTTCCTCCCCGTAAGTCTGGGTGGGCTCTGACTGATGCGCCCACCCGCAGACTAAAGTCGGGCAGCCCCGACTTCCTGACTCCCCTGACTCTGGGAACGCTTGCCCTGGGAACCCAGCCACCAAGTTGTGAGGAAGGCCCACGAAGCCCTTAGAGGGGCCCACATGATGAGGACGCTCAGCTCTCACCTCTGCTGTGCCCTGCTCTCGTTAGATCTGTGAGCAAAACAACGATCGTCCGGAAGTCGCCAAGGTTTGGGGCGGTGGGTTACGCAGCAGCAACACCTGTTCTCTGCTCCGGGTGCATGCTGGGGGCCCACCTGCAGCTCCCTCTCCACCGCCCTCCCTTCACTTCTGTTCTGGTGGCTGGTGACCGGCTTAGAGCCCAGTGGAGGTCATTGCTGAGGGCGGCCCCAGGCCTCCGTGGGGGTCAGGTATTGGGAGAGGCCACACAGAGGGGGCTCCTGTTCCCTCAACGAGAAGGGGACAGGCTCTGGCCTCCGAGGGCCGCACTGGCAGCCCACAGCGCAGCCTCCTGCCCTGTCGACTCGGAGACAACAGCACGTGCTGAGCCCACGGTGCGTCCGTCCCAGGGCACCCCTGGGACGTCCGGGGCCTCAGCTGAGCCAGGGACACGTAGCCAAAACATTTAAACAACCTGATACCCACTTTTTTGGTGTACGTTTGTTTATTTTAAAAAGCACAGGAAATAAAACAGCACCTAAAAAAGTATCTACAACAAATAAATTATTTCCAAGTATGCACTGCAGATTCACACAAACCAGCCCGCTGATGGCGGCCAAGGTCACGCCCAGTGGATCTGGGCTTTCCCCCTTCCTCTCGTCCTGGAGACCCGCCCATCCCGTGGACAGGGACCGCAGCACTGGAGGAGGGTCCTCTCTGCACAGGGGTCCTCACAGCCATGGCAGGTGGGCACGAGGGCAGCCCGGGCAGCGGCAGCCCCGGTGTGGGGGCTTCGACAAACGCATCTGACTGGTTTCCTGTGACCCCAAAGTAGTTTACATATCTGGGGCCCGGGCTTTAAAGGGCTACGAGTGTGCCGGGCTGGCTCCTTCTGGGTGGCTTGTCTTCAGAACACCCGAGGCCTCAGGGAGACAGCGAGGTGACCTGCAGTTCTGAGCTCTCGGTTAAGAGACAATGGCCGCCTGGCAACCTGGTCATTAAAGGGGACGTGTGTGATGACAGACAGCTACGCCAAAGATGGCCAGCCTCCCTCTGGAGCAGAAGGCAGAGCACCAAGCCAGTGACCCACAGAAGAGACCAGGAGGTGGGGGTCCCTGGCGGGGAGCCAGCCTTTGAGAGGGAAAAGGCGCCACAGCAACCCCGAGGGCGTGATGAAAAAACCACAAACCCTTCTCTCTGGGAGGAGTTCGAGAGGCCTTAGAACGCACACCACGGAGGAGACTACATGGCTCCTCTTTGTGTGGGCAACGCAGCCCACACACAAGTCTGGACGCTGCGTTTCCAGGGTGAGTGCACGGAGCTCAGCGGGGTGCCTTTATTTTTCAGAGGCTCTGCCATAGAAACATTGAACTTCGGACTGTGCTGACAAGCCATAACACAATCTGTCTCCTCCCAGGTGAGAGCAGGGCCCACGGAGGCAAACAAACCCCCACAGGAGCTGGGCAGGTAAGTACAGTAAGTGAGGGGTGTGGACTGTGTGTGAGAAAACTTCCGGAAGCACACACCAGCCTCCAGGCCTGTCTTCTCATTCGATAGGGCGGAGATACAGGCCCCATGCTTTTCACTGTGTCCTGAGAAAAGCGACCCTGTGGGGGTGTCGGGGGTGCCCAGGAGGGGGGGCGCCTCTGGGGAACTGGTAGACCAGAGGCCCCAGCGGAGGGTGGCCCAGCTTCTCCACGTAGCCAGTTGCTGCCTGGTGAGAATGTGAGACCCAGCCTGGCCAGGTCTTCTGATCTGGATTGTGATGTAAACATTTTCTCATTTTAAAGGTTAGTGATCGATTCTTAAAAAAGATTCTGTTGGCTAAAGAAAACACACCTGCGGGCTGGATTGTTTCGTAGTCTCTCCTCAGTGGCAGGAAGGAGAAGCAGGAAAACGGATGGCCCCCCAAAGAGATCCAGATCCAAATCCAAATCCGAACCAGGGCTTGTTGCAAGCCCGGCCTGGGCGACTCCTTCTCTCTCACTGTGGCCTGGTTTGCAGCCGCTCCTGAGTTTGCAAAGACCTGAGCAGTGGTGACTGCATCCAGACCAGAACTCATCATCGGAATGAGCCCACTCGGAAATCAGAAGCTGGGGAGTCCAGGAAAACCTCCTGCTGCCCCTTCCATATGAGCCCGCTGCTTTAGGTTTTCAGGGGGGCAACCGGCAGGGTGTCTCCGTGCCTGGCTTTACGCAAAGTCTTTGGGATGAGTCCAGGTTATTCCCCAGTTTGCTCCACCTCGTGGGCGTCCAGCAAGGGAACTTCTGTGTTCCTGTCGCCTCCGCTGCGCTTGGTGGGGTGGGAGAAGGTGTACGGCTCACTCTCGGACTCAGGACTGAAGCCAGGGCACGGCTCCTCAGGGGCCAACTTCACAGTCCAGGTCCTGGAGCATGTGGGGGGCGGGGAGGGCGGGCTGGCCCCCACAGGGCCCTGGAAGGGCCGGTAAGTGTCCACCTCGGGCTGGACGAAGGACCCGTTGGAACCCTGCAGCAGGTGCCCATATACCATGGTGTCTTCGATGACCGCGTACACGTGGGGGTCAGCATCCTTTGGTGCTTTCTGGAACTTTGGCTGCATGGGCATCTGGGTACTGATGTTCCCATTGTAGATGCCCACAGCCGGGCCCTTGTTCCTCTTCTTTTTCCTGCTGAGAGAGAGGGAATGGGCAGGCGTCAGAAGGACAAAGAGCTCGGATGTGCACCGCTGTCCATCCCTGCTGGACCTCACATCCTTCAAGGCTCTGACCGAGTGTCCCCCACAAACTGCTTAGCATTCGAACCTGAAACTGCTGTGAATATTTAAAGGGGCCTGGCTTTGGTCTCTAGTTTTCAAGAGAGTGGTTTACAGAAGGTACTTGTAACACCACCCGCACTTGAATTTGCTTCAATAGATGCACAGCATTCAATGGCAGGGACATCTGACAACCCCTCTCCCCTACTGGAAAGGGGTGGTAGCCCAGCCCAGCCACGCCAGGCACAGGCAAACCTGGGCCAACCTTCTACCATGCACAGTGCTTTTCCCAAAGCCAATGCTCCATCCCTGCCTTGGAGACCTTCTAGATTCTACACAATAGCACACTGGGGCTCAGGGTGGTGGGCTGTTTGTTTGGATTAAAGCTGGAGGCGGGGCCAGCAGAGCTCAGCATTAGCAGAGGGATCCAGTCCCTTCGACAGTAACTTCCAGCAGGGGGAAAATCGAAAAAAGAAGACAGAATTCAGGCTGGGGTGCCACAGTTCCTCGGTGACACCATTACCCTTTGGTTAGTAGTGTTCCCTGGTGCTCGGCTGTGGATGGGCATTAGCGCTCTCTGCTCCAGAAAACAAAGCTTTGCCCTCCACCTGCGGGAACCCCAAGCAGGGGCCGCTGGCTTTTCAGCTGACCGCTGATTCAAAGGGAGGACATTATCTCAAAGAACATAATGGGCCCTGTAATGTGCAGGCTGGCGGCTCACTAATTGTACTTTTCTGAGATAAAAATAAATCTAGTACATTTAGCTTGTCAGACGGAGACTCTGGCCAGGATGGCGGGTTCCCAAGGCTCCGGCCTGGAGCCTGTGATGGCTGCCCTTCCGTGTCCCCACCAAAGTTCTTCTCCCTCTGTGCTGGGACTGCCACTTCACCTGGCAGCGTCTTCGGTCCCCCACCCCCAGGGCGGTGGGAGGGGAGCCTATTCCTGGCTCACGGTTGGGGTCCCAGCACCAGGCATGGCTCCTGCGCCCAGGAGACCCTCGGAAATACATGCGGACACACACAAGCCCAATGCCGCTGTCTTCCCTCCTGCCCGCTTCAGAACCGCACCGAGCTGGACATGGATGAGCCTCCCTTATGCGAGGCTGCCAGCCGGGGGCCTCCCCCAGGCAAGGCCAGGGCTGGCGATCCGCAGGCCAGGACTGGGGCAGTTTAGAGATGGGGGTGAGCGCTGCGCCCTCCTTTCACTCAGTGCCCTCCCGATGAGGAGCTGGGGCCCAGGGTTAGTGCCATGCTTCCGATATGGGGCACACGGGCATGGTGTGCACCCCAGGTCAGGAGGTTTCTGGGAGAAACAATGTAATGGTGCTTTGTTAAAAGTCCTCTCTCCCGTGCGACCTATGTGCAGCCCCATGTCTCGGGGAAGAGGCCTGGCCCTGGGTCTCCGGTGGGCAGGTCCTTCCTCATCTGCGGCGACATTTCTATGCAGTGTCCATTGGCTGATCGGGCATTCTAGTTGTTTGTTCGTGGCCCCAGTTAATTTAAAAAAAATAATTTTTGGAAGGTCAAATCATGCTAGGGGAAACCGATTTCTCCCTCCCCTCGGTTTTATTCAGAAACACGGGCAGAACGGATCCCATCTGGCCGCAGCGTGCGCCCTGTCTACAAAGGTCGCCGCCCTCCTTCCACGAAGCAGAACCTCCTCCGCCGAGGCGGTGGGAGGAGACACTGAGTCAGTTCACTGGGTCTGCCTTCCTCTTGCCCACGGAACCGGCTTCTTCTGGAGCTTGTACAGAGTCCAGCGAACACGCATAAAACGTGTTTGTTCGAGAAGCCGGAGGGAACCAGCTGGGGCCGTAGGCGCTCCTACCTCGAGGTGAGGGAGGGAACAGGTCTGGAGGCTGGTCTGGCGCAGCCCACGGGGCCATCGCCCGCCAGGACCACCCCTGGCTGCTCAGCGTCCAACGAGCGGACGGCAGACAGCGCCCGGGGCTGGTGCCGGGGCAGCTGCACAGACACTGCAGGCCACGCTGCCACCACACACGTGTGTGCTTTTTGGGGTTTTTCCCCACCAGGTGTGGGATTCTCACTTACTTCTTTCTCACGAAGCAAATGATGAGTCCAAGGGCAAATAGCAGTAAGGCGCTGCCTCCCACCACGGCGATGAGGATGACGGTCAGGTCTGTGAGCAGAGACACAAGGGACAGCGGCGTGTGGGCGAGCTGTGTGATGAACTCGACCATGTCGTCTCCAGAGCTGCCGCCACCCAGGCCCCCCTCCCTGCACCCACAGGCTGCTCTCGGACTCCGGGGAGCCTCTCTCCTCGTGAATCTGGGCTGTGCTGGCTCTGGGCCTGCCCCTGGGGAGAGAGGCAGGGCCGCTTCTTGCACCTGCCGTCTGATGGGGAGCCAGCCACCAGGTAAGAAGCCTGACTCTGCAGAGGCCGCCGTGCTGGGGGGAAGCCCAAGCTAGCTGTGCAGAGTCTCCAGGAGGAAAACAAACTGAGGAGCCCGGATGAATGCAGGCATCAGGGCCCCAGACACGTGTCTAGGTGAGACACCTGGCCATCCTCTCACTGATCAGGGCATCTGGCCAAGGCTCCAGAGAGCCGAGAGCAGAGATGAGCCACTCTGCCGGGCCCGGTCGGAATCCCCGACCCACGTACTCATGAGCAAACAAGACGGTTCCTGTCCGAGCCACTCAGTAACTACAACACACGGGGGACCTGCCAGATCTGCTCAAAGGCTACTCCGGGCCCACACTGGGCAAGCCCCGCCGGCTGCCACAGCCTGTGGAGGAGGAGAGGGGAGCAGAGGGGTGCAGGAGAAAGCGGGGAGCCAAAAGCCGGATGAGAAGGTGTTAAGGAGAGGGTGGGTTCATTTTGTGCTGTTCTTTTCCTATAGTCACACAAGGGAAAGAGAAAACTAATCAGAAAGGGAGCCCTGCACCAGCCAGGGGTGGAGAATTCCTTGCTTGTTCTACAGGCAAACGAACGGGGAGGTGCGGAGAAAACAGGGACAGAAATAAACGACAGAAGATGAGCATCACAGAGGCAGAAAACCCGGGAGCGAGCCTGAGCGCCGAGGACAGCCTTCACCGTGTGGCTTTGGGTCCTATCGGTTCTCCTGCTGCTAACCAGCTGGGTGGCCGTGGGTGGACGCGCCACCTCTCTGACCACCGCAAAGGGAAGAGGCCGGGAGGAAGTTCCGGCATGGTGCCCTCTGGTTCCAACAACCTGGGATGCTCTGTGACTGTCTCGGGACAGAAGGTAAACACAGCACCAGCAGACTGCCCCGCCACACGTGTGTGTCCTTGCCTGAAACTCCTCAGTGGGCCCTGCAACCCTGAGCAGATGGGCAAACCCTGCGGCTGCCACCAAGGGCGTCTCATGGCCTCCCGTGTGTCGCTGAATAAAGCAACAAGCAGACGCCAGATACCTCTTTCTCCCTTTCCAGGTCCTCACGTTTTAATCACCAGCACTGATTGCCCAAGGGTACTTTTTGTTTCTAATTCTCACCTGAGGATATTTTTATTGGTTTTAGAAAGAGAGAAAAACATCAACGTGAGAGAGAAACACCAGCCGGTTGTCTCCCATACACGCCCAACTGGGGATCGAACCCACAACCTTTAGGTGCACAGTCCAGTGCTCCAACCAACAGAGCCCCCGGCCAGGGCCCAGCGACACTTTTATCAAAGACTCTCTACAGGTGAGGAAGGTCAGAAGGGAAAAGCCTTCCCCTCTGTCACAGAGAGATTAATAATCAGTGACGGTGCTGGACAGACTACCAGAATGCCCTCATTCTACCTCTTTCCTGAGCCAGTCCCGTGTTATTTTGTAGCTCCTCCCGTCAAGAGGTGAAGTCGACTTGTCCACTTGTCGACTTGATGGCTTGGCGGAAAGACCGCGGCAGAGGAAACGCAGTCTGAATCCCTACCCAAAGCATCGGGAGACTTTGCAGGCCTGCTCCGGCCTCTGTTGGACCTCTCTCCCCTGCCCCGAGGACAGGTCTAGGCTGGAAGATGAGAGACCACGCAGAGGGGAGCCGAGGAAGCCCCAGGATCCCAGCTGACGTTGGCTGGGCCCCAGACGTGTGAGCGGGCCCCCGGCCAAGATCAGCAAAGTCCCGGAGCCAGAGTCGGCCTGCAGCTGCTCACAGGCGCGTGAGAGAAGGAGCCTTGATGGCCTGGCTCAGACCAGAATTGGCCAGCCAACCTGTGAGTAGTAACAATGGCTGGGTTGTTTTGTAAATTTTTTATTTATTTATTTTAGAAAGGGGAAAATGAGAGGTAGAGAAACATCAATGGGTGTTTGATGTTTCAGACCCCCTCCTAGGGACCTGGCCCACAACCCGGGCATGTGCCCTGACCAGGAATCAAACTGGTGACCCTTTGGTTCGCAGTCTGGTGCTCAGTCCACTGAGCCACACCAGCCAGGGCTAATAATGGCTGTTTCTAAGCCACTGAGTCCTGGGGTGCTTTGTTATGCAGCATCACTGATACAATAATAGCTGATGGATTTGTGGACAGCCGGGACCCAAACCTTTGTTTGCGACTCACCTCCCAGGCTTGCTCCTCCCCCCCCCAGCCCCCAATCTGCTCTCCATTGCTGTTCCCGAAAGACCCTGGAGGCCCTTACCTACAGTTCTCGGGCTGAGCGACACCTGGAAGAGCAGGTCCAGCTGCTTGCCGCTCGCGGGGCTGCAGTTGGAGACGTTGACCCAGAAGCTGCGGTGGTGGGTGCTGGGCTTGGGCAGCACCTCCTCCAGGCTGAAGACCTCCTCGGCTGCGGATGAGTGCTCCTGGACGATGAGGAACGCGCGTCCCGTCTGGCAGACCAGGCCCGCCCGCTCCTTCACGAAGGTCAGGCAGGCCACCTGGTCGCGGGGCACGCTGATGTTCCAGGACACCGAGGCGAGGGACGGCAGGCCCCGATCCCAGTTAGGGGTCCTCAGGTAGACCTTGTTTTTCATATCCGGGGTCACCGTGAAAACCCCTTCCTCTGCAGGAAAGGGGAGACCAGACATGCAGATGTTTCACTCACTAGAAAAAGTCGTGCTGCAGGGGACGGTCCGCCATCCAGAGCAGTGCTGTCCGATGGAGCACCCTGCTGTGGCAGAGGCATTTTACCATCCAATGGGGGAGCCATGGCCACACACATCTATTGAAGACTAGACACATGCTTGGTGTGACTATGGAGCTAAATTTTAAATTTTCTTTATTATTAGCTCTGGCTGGTGTAGCTCAGTGGATTGAGCTCAGGCCTGCAAACCAAAGGGTTGCAAGTTCAAATCCCAGTCAGGGCACATGACTGGGTTTTGGGCCAGGTCCCCAGTAGGGGGTGCATGAGAGGCAACTATACATTGATGTTTCTCTTTCTCTCTTTCTCCTTCCCTTCATCTCTCTAAAAATAAATAAAATCTTTAAAAAAATAAAATAAATTTTCACTACTACTAATTTCCATTTAAATTGCCTCCCATGACCAATGGCCACTGTACTGGCCGGCTTAGGATTGGAGTCGCAGTTTTAATCAGGTGCTTGGGTCTCAGGCAAAACAAACAAACAAGCAAAAACAAGGCAGCCAAACCGGCAGTTCACTCAGCTCCCTTTCCGTGACGCCCTCCCTCAGTGTGGCTAACAGTCACCTGCGCCCCACAGCGGGAGGGCTGTGTCCCGATTCCTATTTCTGAGATTCAGAAAGAATCAGTCCTGGGAAGAATTCCGGAACTGCAGAACAGAAGGTCTGCCTTTGACAGGCAGGGCAACTACTCCACTCCTCTCCTTCGGGTGAGACAAACCCCCACGTTCCACAGCAATGCAACTCCCGGGGGCATTTCTCTGCTAACCTTGGAGATGCCCGGCAGCCTAGACTGACCCTAATCTAATGGCCGAAGACTCTCACCCGTCTTGCTCCTGCCTCTGCAGACAAAAGAACGAAGTCAGCCACAAATGAAGCCCCTGGTCAGTGTCAAAACAGCCTCTCACACTGAGTCACTTGTAACGGCAACGAGGACTTTTAAAATTAGCTCTAGCAGTCACTTTTATGACCGATTTGGACCTCACTTCCTACCCGGGACACCAAAGGCCACTGTAGCCTCCCAGGAGAACAGGGCCCTTGAGTTCTAGATCCTTCTCTCTCCCAGCATTCCTTCCCGGCGCTCTCTGCGGGGACACACATCCTGAGCTCCCAAAGCAGGTCATAATACATCTGCGTTAGGGTTCTCACGTTACCACCTTAGAAATCCAGGAGGTGTGGTGTGTGGCTACTTCTAATTAATGCACAGTCTGCTTCCCCAACAGACGCGAATCTGATTATGTGTTTTTCTGCCATCGACCTGTGCCGCGCCATCAGACGGTCTTATTTCCAACCCCTGGACTTGTCCACGTTAGGTTAATGGCGCAGTCAGCATTAGGATTCAAATTTCTTGTCCGAAAACCAGCCCACTCAGCTCTAGCTCCTCTTCAAATGGACAACTTGATTAAGATGATCACCAAAGCAAAATAAGATGAATGTTCCCAAATGGGAAAGGCTAAGGGGGCTTGGAGACAGGAGAGAGTGAAAGACACCTACTCACCTTTGAAGTGAGGTATGAAAAACACGGTCAGGTCCTGCCTGGAGACCTCTTGTCGGAAGCTGGGGGCAAAGGTGCGCAGGGTCACCGACATGTTCTGCTTCACCTGGATCTGCTGGATGGCGCCTCCGGAGCAGAAGGAGCCCAAGTAAAGGTCCTGGCCGAGGCCGGCGCTGGCCACCAGGTAGCTGAAGCTGCTGTTGCAGATCCGCTCCTGCGTGTGCTGCTGCAGCTTCTGGGCCGGCACCAGGGCCAGGCTGAGCCTGTCCTTGGGCACCAGCAGCTTCCAGGAGAAGTCGTGGAGCTGCACAGGCAGCTGGAGGATGTCCCTGGGCACCTGGAGGGAGTAGGACCTCCTGAGGCAGTACCGGTGGTCCATGCAGCCTGGAAAAGAGGGGCTCGTGGTACCCACGCGGGAAGGAGATAGAGAAGAGCATCTTCTCAGCTCTAAAGTCATCCACTTCTAGCTTCCCCTCCTGCTCTCTCATATTCTTCCTAAACTGGCAGACCAACTTCTGTTTGTCTGGTTCTCACTTCTGTGTGCCTGTGTCTAAGATGCTAAGTGCCGTGCGGGCAGGGCACAGGTTTGCCTCCACCCAGGAACTTCCTAACAGGGAGGCTTCGGCTCCTGCCTCTGTAGAGACTCTAAGGGCGTCCGCGTCAGAGACGATGGGGGCCCTGAAGGCAGGGGACTATTGGTTTGGCTGCCCCGCATTCGTCACACACTTATTACGTGACTAGCACGTGTTCAGCACTGCTAGGGGCTAAAGGGGTAAGAGATGGAACAGGTCAAAGGTCTTGACTTTAAGACTCCAGGTCTTGTGTGAGAGAAAACAAAAACAAGTGGGCAGCAAGCGTGGGAGCAGGGGCCATGCAGCTAGGAGAGGACGAGGAAGTCTAAGACCAGGAGGAGACTGCAGGAGGGACAGAAGAGACATGAGTGCAGACACAGGTCACGCATGCACTGCCCTTCTGAAAGACGCATGTTCCAACTGAGGCTGCCGCTCCCCAAGGACGCTGGTCTCCACCTCGTGGTTTGCTTCCTGGTTGCCCCTGCTCACCCTGCACTAGGGGGGACATTTCTTGTCACATATTTACAGCTCAGGCAGTGGACCCCACCCAGAAGACAGGGCGGGAGGGGGAGAGGGGCTCACGAGCCAGGAGGAGCTTGCCCACCGGGGTGGGAAGGGCACGTACCAAAGGTCTTCTCGGCGTTCATCCACAGGCGAGTCAGGTCATTGCAGAGGAAGGAGATCTTGTGTCTGGAGCCAGCTGTCAGGGTGAGGTTGGTGCTGCAAGTCCGAGACTCCAGGCACACAAAGCAGCCGGGGACGAACCTGCGGCTCTGCCTGCTGGGCCTCGGCTCGATGCTGAGCGACATGTCTCTCTCTTTACTCAAGTCAACCACGTAGGTGACATCTGGAAGCACAGGGCGAGAACAGGCGTGAAAACCGCGTCCGCAGCCACCCCATGGCACAGGGAGCGTCGGGGATGCTCTGTCATTATTAAGGGACCATCACAAGAACTTTAAAAGAAATTTAAAAGGAAAATAATGGACCGTATTTCTACCACCCTTACTGACCCTCTTTCCTTTCTTTAGATTTATTTTAGACCTTGGTTACATGTGTGCATATTTTTTAACTACTTAAAAGTACAGTGAATAGAATACTTCATACTCAGCTCTCAGTTTATTATTTTATACAGTTTTATATATTTTACTAGAGTTTTCATATGCACTAATCTTTTCAAATACTCATTCATCTTAGTGGCTGCACAATAGTCAACCAAGTAAGATTTATCATCACTTACATAAATAGTCTCCTACTATGAATGGTGATTAAGAACAGTGCAGTTTTAGGGCAGGAAGAGAGGATTCGTAAACAGGACGAAACCTCAGATACTATAATGTACTCTCTAATAAACACTATATTTCAAATAAGTGAGAAAAAGATGGACTATTCCATAGGCTAAACCAGAAGAACTGCCTTTCCCATTAGTAAAAGAATACAATTAGCCCAGTACCTCAAAGCAGTGACCACAATAAAAACATAGAGAATATCTTACAAATGTACTGTAAAGCAAATGCAAATTATAAAAGCAAAAAAAGAAAAATGTAAATATCTTCCTGATAATAGGCACCATAAATAATGGTAAGGGACAAGGGACACAAGAGGAAAACATATTTGTGACATGGAATAACTGAGCAGGTGGCAGAAGAGGAAATATAAATGTCCAAGTATACAAAACACTAAGAGTTCTCACAATTCCTAGTCGGGGCACATTCCTGGGTTGCAGGCCAGTTCCCAGCAGGGGGACACACAAGAGGCAACCGTACATTGATATTTCTCTCCCTCTCTCCTTCCCTTCCCCTCTAAAGATAAATAAATAAAATCTTTAAAAAATACGAAGAGTTCTCATATAACTTGTCACTTCGCTTGCAATAACAAAAAAGCAAATTAAGACAAAGTGTTACCATCTCCCCTAATCAGACGGGGGAGAACAGAGAAGCCCAGTGATACTGGGTGCTGGGGAGGGAAAGGCCCTCACACTTTGGTGGAAGCATGGCCACTCCCATCACAGTAACTTTCTAAATGTCTTTCCCAGCCATCCTGGATGTGCCTTTGACCTTTGCTCTCCGATGGAGCCATCCTGGACCAGACTTAAACAGCAGCTTCTTACTGTGTGAAAATGAACGCACACGCCGTTCATTCACCAGTTAGCCTGTCCCTCAACCCGGCAACGCTCTTCCCGCACCTCTCCCAGGGTCCAGGGTCCAGGGTCCAGGGTCCAAGTGGCCCAGAAGCCACCGATGAGAAATGGGATGGGAACCTCACCCCAAGCAGACTCCTTGGAAGGAAGAAGTGTGCTGGAGCAGGAGGGGAAAGGAAGGGCTCACTTACTGCTTTCATGTTGTGGATACTGAACCAGAACCTGAAACTTCAGCCGGAGGGTCCCTGGGTTCTGGGCATCTTGGTCACAGCCCTGCAGAGAGAGGTTGAAATTCCCGGCCATGTTCCCGGGCTGCTGGTCCTCCAGCTTGAACACCTCGGGGTTGGTGGTGGAGCCCGGGATGTAGTACTCAACCCGCTCCTCCTTCCTCTCGCAGTTGGAGACGTTGAACTGGAGGAAGGAGACGCTCGCCCGCAGGGGCGCGGGAATGACAAACTGCCAGGTCATGAGCTCATCCTCAGGGAAGCCGGCAGGGTAGTTGGCAGACATCAGGGTTGCGGAGCCCTCACCCTCAAACACAGATTCGATGATGCACAGTCCTGTTGGGGGGGAACCCGAGCCAAGCGATTAGACCTTGCCCTGGTGGTCCCGGGCAGAGGGGCAGCAGGCTGAGGTCAGGGGAGGGCGGTTCTCAGGTCCTCAGCCACAGATCTGGATAGGGCACGAGGGGAAGACATAGGTGGTGTTCGAATCAGTGTTTAATAACGGACTCAGCCAGGGTGGGGGCGGGGAGTCCTAACGTGTGCGGTCTAAATACTCCCACCATAGCTGATTTCAAGCTAACAACGTGAGGTGACTGAACATGGCCTTGGGAAGAGACCGGCAGCAACTCATCATCCCACAGGACTGCCACCTCCAGATACAATCAGCATAAGTAACTTCAAGAGCACAGACAAGAGGAAACTGTAGTGAAATCATTAGGAGGCAGTGAGTTTTGAGTGTGTATGATCTTTGTTTCTAAACTCATTTTTTTCACTTGTAAGTTTATATAATTTTATTTGGATGAACAGCTCTGTTTGACACCAACTTCCTGCTGGTGGGACAGTCAGCTCTTGTGAGCCAAGGTGAGCCAGCACGACCCACCACTGACACCGTCAGAGAAGATGTGAAACAGAGAGAAGACGGGGAAAGGAATTAGAAAAGGAGCGATCGCAACAGGTCTGTAGAGCCAATCCCATTTCATTCCTGAGCACAAACCTCTCCTGCACGAAGGACAGAGAGGAGAGCCACCACCCAGGTTAGCAGAGGAGGGTGGGTCCACCCCGGGTGTCAGTGGCCTGTGTCGCTTACGGAAGAGTGGCAGCTCCCCATGAGGCACTCAGGTTAAATCACACAAAATTGGCAACACCGGCCATTTCGGACCTAGAGAAAGTGGTGATTTTTGTGTGTTTCAACCTCAGCAAAGAACAGGAGGGCCCAGCGTGCTCACGTTTGATGGGTGACCGGTTTGCGATGCTGAAGCCAGAGACGTTTCTGTGGTGGAACCAGGGCAGGTGTAAGGCCATGTGGACGCCCTCTTGCATCTTGATCCGGGACACGGTGCCGTTGCTACAGAAGGTCCCGATCTGGACTGTGGTGGAATCGACTCGGCCACTGATGGAGTGAGTGATTCCGTCCGGGCAGCTGTCCCCTGGCTCGATCTGCCGCAGGCGCGGCAGGGAGAACTGCAGCTCCAGGCCGATTCTCTTGTGAGCCTGCACATCCCAGCTGTAAGTCCGGTTGAGGGTGGGCAACCCTGACGTTGGGGGCTGCAGCTGGACCTCCCCGAAAAAACATGGGCCTGCCATGCAGTCTGAAACACAGTCACACAACCTTTTTGGTCACAAAAGCTGCCGGCCACTCCCTGCTCCTCCCTACCTTTTCAGTAGGCTCTCGGGGAGCACCACCAGGCAGGCACACCCACCCCCAGGTCACCTGAGTGTGGATGGCCACTGGCACACCGATGCCCCCTTCTCTGAAGTGCCTCGGCTGGCAGTGCCTCCCGGGACCAGAAAAACCTGTGGGGTTTCGCTGCCCACCCCAGCAGGGAGCAGCCGCCCGCCACCCATCGAGGTTCATGTCGGGAGTGGAAAAGCCTGACCTTCTGGCTTCAAGTGCAGGGGCCTGAGGCTACACGTTAGCTAAACCCACATCCTTGTTTACTTCTTCCCTTGCTCTCTCCTGCTTTCCTCACTCCTTCACAAGGTGCTTCTAAGGGCACTCTCTTGACAAGTGCCTTAAACAGAAGTTCCCACACGGGCTCTGTTCCAGGGAACCACACCCAAGACACCTCCTAACTCCGGTGTCTTCAGAGTAGGTCAGCGCAGGCCCGTTGGTGGGCCTTCCCAGAAGTCCGAGGACAGCCCCTCGCTTTGCCGCAGAGCCTGTGCTTCTAGAGCCGCTGTTTCACAACTTTCAGGGGGCAGTGCCGAGCTCTGCCTTTAAAAACTGGCTTTCCCGTCAGCACACTGAATACACTCCGACTGTGCAAGGCCCTTAACGGCTGGACCCTGGAGGCAGTTTCTTCCTGCCCCGTGGCTTTCCTGCTCCTGTTTTATGACCACGCTGGGTTTTTTTACAGGCTGACAACTAATGACATCCTCTGATGTACCTTGTTTTCTAAGCCTTTAAAACAAAGGGAGAAATGCTGCTGCCAGGGAGGAATAAGGGAAAAGCACGCAGCAGAAGGAGCAGAACACAGGCAACGCAACGGTTAAGGCTTTTGTTGTCTCAGGGGTGGGCAGCGTGAAGGGGGGGTGGGTTCTGCCACTGGCGCTCCGGTGGGGTGGGTGGGGTGTTTGAAGGTACGGCCAGCCCTGGCCAGGTAGGTCAGTTGCTTACAGTGTCAACCAATACACCAAGGTTGCTGGTTCAATTCCCATTCAGGGCACATACAAGAATCAACCAAAGAATGCATCAGTAAGTGGAACAAATAGATGTTTCTCTCTCTCCCTCAAATCAATTAAAAATAATTTACTGCCAACTTAAAATGGAACTACGGGAGAATTCCAGAACTGGACGTCCGAGGTCATCCATGCCACACCCTCTCCTTTTCACAAGGCAGCCCTGGGGCCCAGGGGGTGGGCACAGCCTCCTTCACGTGACCCCAGGACAGAGGCCCGGGCTCTGTTTGCTCATCCCAAGTCCTCGCCCAGGCGCCTCATCACCTCACCCATAAAACAGGGTTATCTAACAGGGTCACTGATAAAACGGTTAGATAACACGGTGACGAACGTGGCTAAAATTAGATTTTGTGTGGCAGTACCGATAGTACCTATTTTTAGGAGCTCTTCCAAACTTCATTGTTTACACCAAGCCACGTCTTTCCTTTTAAAAGCTGCCTTTGCCCTGGCTGGTGTAGCTCAGTGGATTGAGCGCGGGCTGCGAACAAGGGGTTGCTGGTTTGATCCCCAGTCAGGGCACATGCCTGGGTTTTGGGCCAGGTCCCCAGTAGAGGCAACCACACATTGATGTTTCTCTCCCTCCCTTCCTGCTCTCTAAAAATAAATAGACAAAATCTTTAAAAAAATAAAAGCTGGCTTTGTCACTTCCCATCTCTGGCTCCAGCTTGCCCAGGGCTGCGAGGAGCGGCTCCTACTGGGTTCCGTCTGGTGGACTCACCCGCCTACTGAGGTGGTAGTTCTCAGCCCTGGTCCCGCATCAGACTCACTGGGAAACGTTTAAAAAATGCACAGGCCTGGGCCACCTAAGAGACTGTGATTTAATTCTACACCAAGAACCCTGAGCCACGAGGCTCCGCCCCTCGGCCCGGCCCCTCAGCCCGGGCTCTGTTCCAGCCTGGACCCCGGGGCAAGTCTGGCGCGCGCACTCTTTCATCTGCGGCTGCGCGCTTTGGTGTCGAGGACGGACACACAGCCAAGCGCGGTCACAATGCCTGGCACGCTGCCAAGTCTCTGTTCTCCGTCTGGTGCCAAAAAGTTAAGTAACGAAAGTTTCCCAGGTGGAGGACGGAGACGTGACCATTCAGAGTGATTCACAGCTCACGTGCCCCCAGCGCAGACCTCTCCTTCCATTAACTTTAATAGCGTTATCCGAGTCAGGGTAACAGGAGGGATCTCAGACTTTGATACTCAGGGCAAGTTTGTGTTTTTTTTTAAAGGAGGGGCAGGCAGGACATGGGATTCAGTTCTGGAGTCTAGATTTATTATTTTAGAAATTAGTATCTTCCTATGATTTTGAAAAATGGAGAGCATGGGTTTTCACTGGGAACTGTGTGTTGCACCTGGGGCCGAGAGCCTGACTGCGGTCATTTGAACGCTTGACTTGTGGGATGATCGCTTATTAAGACCATCGATCACATGCAGTTTTTTTCTCTCTCACTGAATAGTGCAAAGCATTACATTAACCCATTTCCTTTTTCAAGAGGGCAGTCACTTTATTGGTTGAAATGATTATAAAGTAATGCATGCTTGTAAAAAGAAAACCAATAATATGGACCAACAGAAAGAAGGAAATGGCTGGCACTGTTCCCCTCCCCCACCCACCACAAAAACAAGTCAACATTGTGGCGTGGAGCTCTCCGAACTTTAGACTCCAGGTGACCGACTACATGTGCCTATGTGTGTGTTTAATAAAGTGGGGTTCAACCGTTTTCCTACTATACGTTACGCTGTTTTCAATAAAGCAAAACTATCCACGTCAGATGTGGGGAGGTACTTCAGTCTTTCAAGAGTGACACGCCATTCCACTGAATCCTTCAGGACCTCCATGTTCTCCCCAGCTCTGTGAAAGTGTCACTGAGATGCTAACTGCAATCAATGCAAACTGATTAATTAATTGGAGAGGGGGAGAACTGACATTTAAAAAGTACTGAGATTTTCATCATGGAACACAGTACATCTCTCCATGTATGTGTATCTTCTCTTTTGTCTTTCAGTAAAATGTTATATTTTACTTTATGTTCATACTCTGTATATATTCAGATGATCCCTAAATGTTTAACCAGAGCTTGTGAACGATGGTGGCCAATAGCAGGCATAGTGGGAAACCTTATATCACTTCCCCTGTTACTGGGGACACTTCTCGGTCAGACTGGACCACTGGGGATGACATTGGCTATCAGGGGTTTTCTTTTAATTATTTATTTACTTATTTTTAGAGAGGAGGGGAAGGAGAGAAGGAAGGAAATATCAATGTATGGTTGTCTCTCGTGGGTCCCCTGATGGGAACTGGTTCCCTGCTAGGAACTGGCCTGCAACCCAGGCATGTGCCCTGACTGGGAATCAAACCGCAATCGTGTGGTTCGCAGGCCTACGCTCAATCCACTGAGCTACAGCAGCCAGGTGGCTATCAGGTTTGGTAGATCACTTTATTGGATTAGGAAACACCCTTCTACTTCTGAGAACGTTGTATTAAAAACACGCTAAATAACCTATTAAGCTGATCACATGCAGTCCTTTCTCCCAGAACAACCCTTCCAGTCTTCAGTCTCACTGCTCTTGTTTCTTTGTTCTCTTCATACATTTTTCTGGACTTGGTATAATTATGCTTAGGATTTGTTTTTTGCACAGACAGTCATAACAGGCTGGTCTATGAAGTTGTTGTGTTGTTTATTGTTTAACCCTTTGGCAGATTTTGACATCAGGGCTATAAGAACCATATAAAATGAGCTAGGAAACTTCCCTTTCTGTGCTCAGAATGGGAGTCGGCAAACTACAGCTCATGAGGTGTATCCAAGCGAAACACCTGTTCTTGTAAATAGCGTTTCTGGAACTTCCACTGCCTGTTGGTTTACCTGTTATCTACAGCCGACCTTGTGCTGTGACAGCGCAGCTGTGCCGCTGTCACAGCGACCATCTGGCCTCAGACACTTGCTAGCTGGACTTCTGCAGACAGAGCCTGCCAACCCTCCGCTAGCGGTGCGCAAATGCCACGGGAATGATTTGCTCCTTCAAGTTTTACAGCATCCTCCATGAAACCACCTCTAACCGACCCAATCCCTGCTCTCCTCCATCCGGGACATTTTCTGAATCTCCTCCGTTACTATTTATTTATTCAGGTTTCCTCCCCTTCTATGAGTCAGCCTGGTCCATTCAGTTTTTCCTGAAAATCACCATGTCATTCGGATTTTCATATGGAATATCATCATGTTGTAGCCTCTTACAGTTTTAGAAATAGCCTTGGTATATACCTCATTGAATCCACATGTACACTTTTGATGCTGCCTATTTGTAATTTCTCTTTCTTTTCCAGGAGACTAGCCAGAGATTTGCCTGCACAGTTGGTCTTTATCAAAAACCAGGCCTTTGTTTTAATTATTAAACGTAGTTTGAAAACTGCTTTGAAGGACTTATAATTTCTCCTTTTAGTTTGCCAAATTTCTTCCTCCTAAGGTTTCTTTTATCCTTTTTTCTCCCTTCGTGATCTATTACCTGATTCATTTATTTTCAGCTAAAGGCAAAGAAGTTTTCTGAATGTGGCTTCGTTAAATCACAAAAGCATTCTCCCCATTACCACCTCCATGGGTGGCTGGTTGGCAAGCCCCCCTTCAAACCACTAGGAGATCACATACTTGTTTTTTTCTGCCTATTATTTCTTATATCAATCTCCTACCCCGAGCTCAAGTTCTGAGTTATAATAATACCAATTATCTATAGTTTGTTGAATTCTTGTATATCATACACTCTGAACCCATTACTTTATTTCACCCTCATAAAAACCTGATTGGTTGGTACAAAGGCTCTTATTTTTTAGACTAGAAAACTAAGTCACAAAGGAGTTAGGTAATTTGCATGAAGTCATGTGATCGGGTCACATGATCAGCATTGCCCTAGAGCTTGAAGCCAAAACCCTGCTCCCTCAGCCTCCAAAGCTGCTGTTTTTTGCCTTGTGTTTCATCCACCCATTTCTCTACTCTCACCTCCTCGACCTTCATTTCTTTTGTCCCCCAGTCCCTTGACTTTTGCCTGTCACCAGCTGGGTGTTTCTAGCACATCAGACTGAGCATCCCAGACCTGAAGACCCACAGCTCCGCTCAGAGATACTGTGGGTCAGGGGCCACAGGGCCAGACTCTGGAGCCCAGGAACCCGGGTCCGCATCCCGCTGGCTGTGCCATCTCAGGCGAGCCACTCTCTTTGGGAACTCCTCCAGGGGCTGCTTGGGGGATTTGACAATGAACCTTTATAAAACACAGCGAGCTAAAGGACCTGCAGAGTTCCAAAATCGATCTCACCTCCCCAGCATCGTGGGCTGGCTGCCAGACCGTCCACAAGAGTGTACTTACCAATGTTCTTCTGAATCTCAATGACAAAGTAGTTCTCTGGATCCCGGCAGCTGAAGGAAAAGTCCTTGGTTTCTCCAGATTTGATGAGCAACGTGGTTGTCAATATTCTCCTAGTAATGATGGAACAGTGCTTCCCTGACAGGAGTGGGGTCCCGAGCTTTATCGAAACGGTGATGCCACTTCCGTGGGGCAGGCCAATCTGGAAAGCTTCGGAAAGGAGGAGGAGAAAGGCAGTGAGCAGGGCGACTCAGGCCTGCGGACCTGCTGCCTCCCCTCAGCTGGTCCTGGGAGGATGCCCTCTCCTCTTTGACAACTTTATCCCTTTTCCCCGGCCTGAGAAGGGGATGGTGTAAAGTGACAGTGGTGTCCCTGTCGGTGGGGGAGAATCGGGCCGTTGTGGGTGGGCCCTGACATGTGTCTCTGGTTTAGTTTATTCGCTTTTCTAAAGATCAAAACTGCTGTACCACATCCTACGTGTCTTAAGCTGTATGTTTTCAGATACCCTGTCGGTATTAAATCGCAATTAAATGGCAATCAGAGAAACTGCCACATTGCTCCTCCATCTGGCTGCAGACCAAAGTCCACACACAGGAAGTGTCTGTGGAGGGACATGTTTCTCTGCAAAGAGCGGCTGTCTCCTGCTGTGCATGTTTCACATGCCAGTACACACGTGCATATGTACATGTAAACATGCACACATTCGCACACAGGCATGCAGTCCCGGAGGGTAGGGAAACTTTCACAGAGGTTAGATATACACATATTACGTCCACAAATTTGGAAAGTTTGAGCCAAACAATGCTAACACCTCAGGCTGGGGTTCAGCCAAATGGTCTAAACGAAGAAGCAAGAAGGAGCAAGCGAGGTGGGGGTTGGCTGTTAAGCAGAGCTGTGCACTCCGGCCAGGAAGGGTCCCCGATTCCTGAACAAGCACGATCTCCCTCTGTTCTCTTGGCTTTGTCCACCTTTAAGTCTTCTCGGACTAACAGGGAAGAGCCACTTTCCGCCTTGGCAGCGAGCACCCCTCCCCCGACAAGTCCCGAAAGCAGGGCTCAGTGGCTGATGGCCCAGGAGCAGCACGTGAAGGGACGATCGTCCACAGGTGGGTCCCTTGGGGGGAACCCAGGGACTCACAGAGGCCCGCAGGGCTGCGGCAGGTGCGCGTGCCCCAGCGCGTTCTGGAGCAAAGACACTGTCAACTGCGGTGACAGCGCCTGCCCATGCAGGGCACCCAGGAAACATCCAGCCAATGAACAGCAGCCCACCCGACAGCTTTTCTTGGTTTTCCAGCTGTGCTTTCCCTGCCTTTTAAAACTTTATGTTTCTAATCAACTTTATGGAGCTATAATTTACACACATTAAGAGAGACCCACTCATTTCTGACAAATACAGATACATGAGATCACCCCCCGAAGCTCCTGCGGCACCCCCTGCAGTCAACCTTCACTCCAGACCCCAGAAGACGTTCAGTGAGCGTTGCCAGATTCGGACCTTCATATAAACAGAACCTAACAAAACTTTCTCTTTGGTACCTGGTTTCTTTGCTCAGCATGGTGGTGAGATTCGTCCATGTTATTGCAGGGGTCAGTGCACCTGCTGAGTGACACTTGGGTCCCTTCCAGGCGTTGACCAGCCATGCCCTGTAACTTCACCAGAACTTCCTGCCAGCCCCAGAGCTGAGTACATTTCACCCCCTACACACACACACACACACACAGTGCAGGGGTGTGTTCCCAGAGCCCAGCAGCTGTGCATGATCAAATATTTGGAGTTCCATCCATCTCTTCTTGCACCTCTCTCCCCCTCACTCACTCAGCCCCAGCGAGCATGGAAAGCAGGTGAGGCAATGGAACCCTGGACTGTGATAATGAACTACAACTATTTCCCCCCGTGTATCAGGTCAGAACTTGACCCTCTTCGGGCCGCTCTGTGCCTTCATTTGTCAAATGAGAGGTCGGGCCAGAATAACACTCCTTCCCTGCCGGCTCAGAGTCCGTGATCAGTAGCCAAGTAAGTTAAGAAGTGACTTTGCAAGTGTAAGCATCACCAGCTCCTGCCCCGCATCTTGGAGCATGAGGGCTCCAGCACAGTGGCCCTTGTGACTTTGTTTCCTGGGTGGCTTAGGTTTGCAATTTTGGAGCAAGACTTCTTATCGCTCCAGCCTCAGTGCACACCCCTCTCTGCCTCGGTCACTGTACTCGGCCGGCTCTGCCTTCTTTCTTGGACATACAAAACCCTTTCTTACCTCAGGAATTGCTGGTCCCGATTCCTCAAATGCCTTCTCTAGCGAAAGCTGGGCCCATTCGGTCATTCCAGTTTCATCTCAAAGGTCATCTCCTCCGAGAGGCCTTCCCTGACCAGCCGCTACAGTGCTCCTCCCACCCCCGCCCAGTCGTCCGGTACTTCCTATACCTCCATCCCTACTCCAGTCCCTGGCTCAGAGTGCCATGCTATTTGTCCATTTGGGCTCACCTCCCATGATCAGACGGTGAGCCTCCTCCAGGAACGCAGCAGGACCTTGTTCTGTTCAGTGGTACCCACAGGACCTAGACTGCGCCAGGTGACGCACGGAGGCAGGAGCTCTAAGCCTCCCAACAGCCTCACAAAAAACCAGAATCTGCCCTGGCTGGTGTGGCTCAGTGGCCTGAGCGCCAGCCTGAGAACAAAGGGGTCACCAGTTTGTTTGATTCCCACTCAGGGCACATGCCCCGTGGGTCAGGTCCCAGTAGGGGGCATGTGAGAGGCAACCACACATTGATGTTTCTTCCCTCCCTTCCCCTGTCTAAAAATAAATAAATAAAATCTTCAAAGAAAAACACAACAACTAGTATCTGTAGCTCCTTCCTTGTCTTTGTCCCATTTCCTGTCTCGTAGACACAACACCATTCCTGTACTACAGTTTGAGCTGATAAATCCGGGTGGGAACCAGGAACTCTGGGCTTTCAAATTAATTAATACTCTCAGAGAGAGAAAACATCCTCCAGGCAGCAGTTTATTTACTTAAATGCTTCGACTTCAAGCGGCGTAGCTGTCTCTTCTGAGATAGACCAGAAGGACCAAGGGTTCTTCAAGACATCAGATTAAAAACGAGTCTCGCCCTGACCGGTGTGGCTCAGTGGTGTGGGCATCATCCTGAAAGCAAAAGGCTACCAGTTCGAATCCCGGTCAGGACACGTGCCTGGGTTGTGGGGTTCGGATCTCCCGTGGGGGGTGTGTACAAGAGGCAACCAATGGACATTTCTCTTTTGCATTAATGTTTCTCTCCCTCTCTTCCTCCCTTCCCCCTCTCTAAATATAATCTTCTAATTAAAAAAATAAGTCTAGATTTAAGTTCAGAAGCCCAGTGGTCAGGTTCATACCCACGTTGAGTGACAACCCTTGTGTTCTTGTTCTGTCATCCTAAACGCATCTCACCATGTTACTTGTACAAAACCCTTGGAGGGAGCACCCGTCTGGGAAGGCTCCTCACTCACTCGGGTGGCCTCCAGCCCTGGCTCCCTGGGGGGGCTGACTCGGTGCCCAGTGAAGCCTCGCCCGGCCTGGGGTCTGCAGCCCAGCCAGCCAAGCTGACCAACTTCTACCTGCCTCTCCTTTCTCCCCCACCCGCTTTCATATCCTTTGGCCAAAGCATCATTTAAAAACTCCTGACTCTACAAGTATGATTATTACTACTTTCATAAAGTGCTAGACACTAAGCTGACCAGCTGCGGCGTGCAGCTGGAGGCAGAGGGAGGGGATGGCATAAAAGGGGCAGAGGAGAGAACCCCAGGATTAGCGAACCCTTCTGTGTTTTGACCATGGTGGTGCGTGTGCCTTGCACACACATGCCACAATTCATCAGACCGTACACTAAACATTGATGCAGTTTATTACACACAAGTTATGTCTTAATAAACAGAGAAGAGGGGGGGAAACTTGTGTTAGAAAGATTGGGTCTCTACACAAAGTAGGCCCTTAATAAATGAAAAAAGAATCATCATGCCCACAGGTGAAATGTGGCTTAATAATATTTTGGGGGTGGGCCTAGTTTCTCTCAAGGTGTATGCAGTATTTGCGGCTCCCTTTGAATTAGATTCTGAGAACAAGGTTGTTCTCACTCCCCTCCCTCCTGCTTTCAGGTAGGCAGTGCCGCCCCCGCCAGGTCATGTCGGGTATATGACAACTTATTCTGTTACTAACGACAGCCAGAGGAAAAACTGTAATCTCTCTGGGAAATTATTTTTTAGAACCCTTGAAATCATGTTTTCATTCAACAAACATTTTCTGGGTTTATAAATATGCTCTGGAGGCCGTAGCTGGTGCAAAGGATTGAGGGACGAAAACAGCTGGCGCCCCTGCACCCAGGGAGGGAACGGTCTAGCCCAGGGGGTTCCAAATGGGGCGGGGGGTTGTAAAGTGAGGAAGTTCCAAGTCCCAGCAGGCCACCAGAGTACCTGGGAATCTGTGTTGGAAACAGTCCCTTTGGCCTATGGTGGGAGGTGGGGACCCATTTCTCCCCTGTATGGACAGCCAAGTGTCCCAGCTACAATTCCTAAATATGTCAGTCCTTCTGTTTTGAATCCCTGATGCTGTCTCTGTGACTTATGACCCAGATCTTCACCCAAACTCACTTTGCAAACAAAGATCAAGCCTTGAAAGGGTTAAATGACTCACTCTGGGTGTACTTTTCTTTTTTCATTAAAGATTTTATTTATTTATTTTTAGAGAGAGGGGAAGGGAAGGAGAAAGAGAGAGAGAGAAACATTGACTGATCGATTGCCTCTCATACGCACTCTGGCCTAGGATTGAACCTGCAGCCCAGGAATGTGCCCTGACCAGGAGTGGAACGCCCAACCCACTGAGCCACACCGGTCAGGGCTCTGGGTGTCCTTCTAACACCTCGCCATGTTTCTTTGTTCTGACCTCCAGATGACTGACCCAGCATGTTGCACCCTCCAGCCATAGCTTGCATTTCCCGAGGTCCCCGAGGCCAGAGAACCTGGTGGCGTAACCCCCGCCTGGCTTCCAGCTCACATCCTGGGGGAAACAGGAAGCTAGAGACACAGGCGCCAGCAGCCGAGTTCGGCCACCTCTGCAGCAGGGGTGGTGATGGATACGACAGCCACGTCACCCGCCGGCCTGTCCCTTTCATCTGTGCCCGGAGAGTGAGAAGAGATAACGACTCAAGCACGTACAGACCTGAAATCTGGGCTCCCTGCACCCACCCC